CATGTAGCAAGGTATATTACCCTAGTATATTTTTTCTTCTCTTCTCTCTTCCTTCCCTACCTCTCTCTCTCTCTCTCTCTCTAAGCGTGCCTCTCTAAAAATTTCACAAAGTACTAGTTAAACAAGCGCGAGAAAATAATATTGTTTAACTTTACGATTTGATAACGTGAATTAGAAATAGATTGTTATATATTTGTTATATTCACACGTATTATGGAAAACATATTTAGAACTCGTGCATATTAGGAGCTCGCGTCCTGTTCTGACAAAGTTTGGAGATGATGCACATTTTACTGTCCCTGTAGGACCATCTTTCCCAAGTAGTATCCTTGTCGAGTTGGTCCTACCCCAAAATCCCCCCGCGGCTCCTCGCGTCCCTTCGGCGTTTGGGCGAACTTCGCGAAAGCCGAGGAGTCACGAAGTTGCAAATGCACCGGTCGCACATTACAACCTCGCAGCCGTTTCGTTCTGCTGGTTTCCCTCAATAATGGAGCGGGCCAAATGGTCTAATTTACTCGACGTCTAGGCGGGCAGCTTGAATATGCATATGTGACCGCCGACACGGCGATAACGATGAAGGCGACGACAACGACGAGCACGTCGCGTCGCGTCGCGTCGCGTCGCGATGCATCGCATCGCATCGCATCGCATCGCATCGCATCGCATCGCATCGCGCCGCATCGCTCGATGGGGGGATAGGCGCGTTCAGCACTGCGAGTTATGCATACTGCACACTGTCGCACGAGGCGCAAAACGAACACGTGCTGACAGATATGCGTGCACGTGTCCGCCTCCCGTGCTCACTTCGTCGTACTCCGGGTACGTCTCTTCATACCTTATTAGGCGTCGCTCAGGCTCGCCTACGTTTGAGCACTCTCTAAATTGGGTCACTCGAGATGCATCGCGACACGTCGCGATACGTCGTACATTTACAAGCGCCTCAGACGCGCAGTCAGACTTTTATCAATTCGTTTTTTTTTTTACTTTGGATCTGTCATTCGACGATTTTTCGATATATACTTTTATATTTAACAAAATAATATTCTTTGCTCTTCGACATCACAATTATTCTTAGCTTGGTGAGATAGATTATGTAGCAAATTGTATTATACTCAAATATAAACGGTACTATATGAACCAAACATAAGGAGGAGGAGGATTAATATGAGAAGTTCCACAATGGACGGAAGACAATTGTAAATATTATTCTTCACATGTGGAATATCATGCGCGGAGCAGAGTTGGCGGAAGTATCCCTTCGAACATAAAATGAAAGTCAATATTAATCGACATAGAATTAATTGCCTTTGACCGTCGTTGTATCCGCATGCGGCTACTTTCCAAACGAGGTTACTCGGCGAACGTAATGCAATTTTCATCGCAAGGCTCGCGTGCCGCGCGCAGACGGCTTAACGACGAAACGAAGCGGTAAATGTCCCTTTTTCGCCTACGGGAAATGTGCCGCGACGAGGAAAAAGTTGCGCCGCAAAAATAGGCATTAGCTAAGGTACGTTAATTTTTCCATTGAAAGCGTAGCGACGCACCCTCGTCAAGGAACATCAGCTTTCAGATCTTTCTACCGTTTTCTACCGTTAAGTACTTGATATTTCGCTGATGAAAAACTCATTTGCTCAACATGGTATCATGCGAGGCGAGCCATATTCATTATGCACAATTTGACGCAGAGATAAATAAAACATTAAGCGCAGCCTTTCGCGGCGGGAAAGTAGATTTTCATGCGAACCACGCCGCACACGTACACAATACGGTTGGAGTTATTAATTTAATCCCTTGCTCCGCGCTATGTGTTGTGCATTACGTTACACAGTATTACTTCCATTTAAATTATAATTCACGTTGGTGACGCACTGACATCTCGCGATATTAATTTATTTAGCGTGGCGTCGTGCCGCGAATAAAATTCTTAGTAAACGCTCGGGGATTTTCCTTATTGATAAGCTCTCGGACAAAATTTCCGATATTCCCGTGAGATCGATAATTCGTTGATGCCGCGGAAAATTTAATTTGCGTATAATTGGATATCACGACGTTCTCCTCCGCCACGTCTCGCTTTCGTCGTTTCGTCATACGGAAATGCATCCGCGTCAGCAGCCAAGACTCTACCGATGGATCTTCGATAGAGGACTCAACTAAGGGAAGCGTCCGCTTAAATGGGATTTAAGAGTCTTGAGGAAAAAGTAACGAACGCGTCGCCCGTGCTCGAACCCATCGAACTTTATTACCAGCCGGCAATACGTGTTATCGGAGATTCGTTTACTCGGGTTGGAGCGTAGGAGTCGATTAATTTGCGGGGGCCGCCATCGGGAAATTTCCTAATTAGCTTTCATTATACCGCACGGGTCTCAAATTGGCTTCCCGTTAGCGTAGCTAATAAGCCACTATATAAATACGGGACCATGGAAAGAAGGGGTGGTGAGAAATGAAGGAACCAGAGATATTCCGCTATTGCTCCCCTTTCGTCTTCCGGACCTTCGCGCTCTCGTGTCGCTTGATGGATCGCGCGGTAAAGAGGAAAGGAGGAAAGGGAAAGGGAGTAAAGTAAATAGCTGTCACGAGCGATCGATGCTTAGATATTAGGAAATTGGTTGATCCGGTTCACGCTGGCAGTGTCTCCACCCGGAAGCTATTAAAGGAATCTCGATCACACAGCTGATCTTAGCGAGCGATACCTGATTGGCTTATCTCGATGACGATAATTCGATTTGGTTCACATCACCGCACTGATTGCATTGTGCATTCTTTGGTATATTAGATACGCCAGAACGAAGGAGCGAAAACGATGTTGGGAGGAAAAGGGGTGGGATAAACGACGATCGATGAGTTGTATTAAGGAGTAGGCACTTCTTTTTCTATATCGAACATTTTTCTAATTTTGTGGAATATCGCCCGATTATATCGGGCAGTTGTTATTTATAGCGTTGCGAAACGAAGGAGCCTGAGAGATATATCGGTGACTTCTCGTCTTATACAATGTAATGTATTACATCGCTCGACGTCTAATATTAATCTTCCCATTGGATATTGATAACTTTCATTTACGAACTTAGCGCGAGAAATTTAATTTCAATTTTGTCGAGAGGAAGACTGTGCGATTAAAACAAATCTTATGATTATTATATGACACAGTCATCAATGTTATCGTATTTGGATTTCCAAGTCTTTGATTTAATTGACTTTCTCTTTAATTTAATTGACAGCGATTGCAATAACAACGTGTCTTGGAACATCTTGGAAAATTACTTTATGAAAATTTTGCTCGAATTCCAGTGAAGATTCAGCGAGTGGCTTCTAAGCTTTTACTTTCCGCTCGTTCGAGGACACGTCTAGCGGTTATAAACTGGCAACTGGAATTAAGCACGGCTGTTACGATAGTACGGATGCGTATCGGCTGGCGCGAGTTTACATGTCTGGAGAACCAACTGCAACAGCCGACGCCACCGCAGAATTTCAGTCCCGAGGGGCAACGCTAAACAAGTTTCTAACATACATACATATATACATACATGAATAACTGCGCCAGTCGCGCCCGTTGATCGGTTATTCAATCAAGCTCTCTGTCCGGGGATATATAGAACTTGGGGGGACAAAATTCACTAAGGGAATTCGGTGCAAGCTGGCGCTTAAAATGTAATTAGGAACAGAGAAGATACTCGCTTTAGTTATTTTAAGCACGAAATTTACTCGGATTAAGCTCACTCCAACTATTGCACCGGTCTTTATAAAAGTATTTTGTGTAATTGTAGATTTCCCACTTTTATAAATCCTATATGAAAAGCAATGTATTCTGCGATATTAATATCCTTCTATACAAATAGATTCATTGAAATCAATTTGATACGCGAACGAAATATTCATCGCGTGTTTATAACGAGTGTTAAATCTTTCACGAGACGCGGCTTGTTGCGTATAAAAAATCTATCATGCTGCAATTTGTATGGTAACGTTCACTCTTTATATTTCACTTATGTATTATTAATAACGGGAATTAACATCCACAAATTTTCGGATTTATGTTACAAAATAATATATATTTTTAAATATGGATTATTTATTTTTACAGATATGTTATGCATCGTCGTGGATAGCGAGTAATTTTGGTTGTATGACCTCAACTATTTGAAATTCGTTGCAAGATATTGCGATTGTACGATCGTCATTTCTCCGCGTTATTTCTGCGCCGTAATGCTGCAAAGTATAACGTCGCGTGCATTTAACGCCGGGAATGCCGTGCAAAGTGCCGTGCGATTATCGTATTTTTGATGATTATTGCGTGCAATCATAATTAATTGTACTTCCGCAAGTGAATGTGTATGTATGTGAATGCTACAAGAAAATACTGTAATAGAGGGATATGAAAGGAGGAGAAGGAGGCCAAGATGGCATAGGCAATAGCGATGCAATCCAAGGGGTACGCATGCCTTATTTCTTATCTGTTAATTGTAAAAATGATTTTCATTTATTTTCGAGATTATATGATTGTATTTTATATTCCCTCTTTGCATCGTACTAGAATATGACAAAGCGCGCGAGAAGCGCTATTTATCGTTTAACATTATATATTTTTATATAAAATATTTACATTACATATTATATACATTACATACTATATAATCTCACCGCTAAATCTCACACAAGTTAATATTAACATTTGACAATTTTATTCGTAACACGAAGTAAGTAAAGCAAAAGAAACACTCAATATCGCGGAAAAACGTCAACGATTAAAGTCTCACGCAGTCTTTGTGATAATGTACACAATTTTTGTAAATGTGTAATTGTACATAATTTTTGTAAATTTTTTTTTTATATACTACGTAATAAAATTACAAATTTGACATGCCGATTATGCGAGAAATTTATCTTGCTCGGATCTCACATCATTCATTTTGAATCTTTTACATCATGTTCATCTGATTCATGGTGAGATTAAATAACGATTAAATTTTGATCGTACGCGAATAATACGTCCAACGTATGGGCCTTAGATTTTTTTTCTGATTTGAGTACATATTATTCATTATATAAATTACAATTATTCTCATTTTTTTTATTCATTTTTATTATTCATTTTTTTATTTTTATGCAATATTTTTAATTTATCGTTCAACTTTTTTAAATTCTATTCATAACATATAATCGAATTTCCTTATTTTAAATGGAAGATTAATCGCGCTTGTTACGAAAAGACCCAATATTGTCAATAAATTAACTTTAAAAATCATTATCATAAATTTCATATTTTATTAATGTTTGAATGGCCCTCATAATCGAAATTATTTTATCGACGTAAAAAGCGAGCGAAAAATTTGCTGATATTAATAATTGGCCATTGATATTAATTTGGTAATTGAAGAAATATACTTCTTCCTGACTATATGTGACAGAAATCCTTGACTATGCAACTGACGATGGAGCAACGCGACGAGGAGCAGCAAAAGGTAGATTCAATCTAGTCTGAAGAATCATAAAAGCCTAGTTAATAATATACTGACCAAAATTTGAATAAATAATATATAATTATAAATTTTATTATGATTTATAAATTAAAAGTTTTGATGAGTTTTCGGTCGGGTAGGTAAAAATATTAAAAAATTTGGGCAAATAAAAAAATATAAATTATAAATTAAAAATTAAAAACTGGTAAATCTATATTTAATTATAAAATGTAAATTAAATGTTAATCATAAAATTTTAATTGAGAAAAGGAAAGTGAGTAGAGATATAAATATTATATATATAAATTTATTTATAAAAATATTAAAATATATAAATAAATAACAACATTATTATACTCTATAAATTAAAAATTGATAAATCTCCTATCGAGTAGATAAGGAAATTGTAATCATTTAAGAATCAAAATTCAATCACTGCAAAGACTATTATTTTCGCAACACGAAACCAAACGAAAGAACCAATTAGCATCCCGGAAAACCGTCAACAATAAAATCGGTTACATAGTTTTTTTAAGAGTAAAATATAACATAATAGGTAATAAAATTATTTGTTTATTATAAAATATTTTTTAAAATATTTTAAAATGTTTTGCGGAATTAAATATTTTATCAGATTTTATTAAATAATTTTATTAAAAAGGATAATGAAAAATTCAGTACACAATAATTAAAATATAATAAAATATTAATTATTTTGGGCATTATGATACTGAATTTGTGTTATAGATTACCACATTATATAATTGACATTATAACTCTGCTGTTGCGTATCATATCTGTGAGTTATATTATCTTAGTTTATTTTAAGATAATAAATACAAAAGTATTAAAAATAAATATATCTCGTTAAATGAATAAATTATATCATTGGTCCATTATTTTTAAATAAATCGAACAGATTAGAATCAGTATTCTTCTCCATGATATTCATGTAATATACAAACATGTGACATATTTAGTATCATTAAATTTCGACGTACATTTTTGACGCATATTTCGAGAATAAATGTTCTGTAACATTTTCTAACAAAAAGACGTTAATCTCCAAGTTGCTTAAGCGGCTTAGCCGATGTAAATAACTTAAACCACTTAAGATAACTGTGATCCTCTTATCCCAGGCAATTTTCATATTTCCTTTATTATCTCCTGCGTTGTAGCCCATCGTAGCAATCTGCCGTAACAAATCATGGTGTCACATGTGCGATAAGATGGCATATACGACGGTAACTATTTTCGTCGAATGGTCCGATGAAAACACGATCGTTCTTCCGCAGGTATTCGCGTCACGTCGACTTTTACAATCCTTTTTCCATCGTTTACAAGAATATTGGTTAGCTCCGAATTTCTGTACCCTTAACATGACACAATCAGCGGAATTGCGGCGGTTTTGATATCGGCGATCACGCGCCTTTTGCGCGTTTTAGATCGTGCGGCTTGTATTAGTCCTCCTCGACGACCGAGACCGTTTAACCGGTAATCCGGAAGCAAATAAGTTAAAGTTCGCAAACTTGTCTCGTCGTGTAAACTTAAAGTACTTGGCCGAAACGTTTAGGGGAGACAAGCGCGCGTGCCCGCACGCCGACGACAACGACGTTATACGATGGGAAAGTTTCCGAAGACGTCATCCTCGTATCTGGCTCTAGGCGTTTTCGTTTAGCGAACGATGTACCTCGTTCGCTTGCTACCTAAATAGGTAGTACCTTGCCTCCGTTAAATTATCGCCAGTCAGAGTGTCGTTTAAATGCGCGCGCTCGCGACTCTCTAACTCGCCTTCCTGCAGATTCGGGGCTTATGCGGATTAAGCGTCGCGCGCGGCGTATTGTTTCGCGAACGAAGTTCGATAATGGCCGAATGAAGTGTCGTCTCTCGTTGCTAATAATTGCCGCATTCCTTCTTTTTCTTCTAGATATATATAAATTCAATCTCTAAAAGCACGTTCCGTAAAAGCTAAAAACATATATTTAATTCATTTTCAATTGAAACAAAAATTCCATCCATTTCTATGCTTTTCTGTATTTCACTTGTATGTTCGAATATAGTAAAAATTATGATACAATTATTATAAAAGAGATAAGTAATATGACATTTTGTTCTATATTACTTTTCAAAAATATGCATTATCGCAAAGTTAAGGTTTAATATATCGTAGTCATAATATCAGCGTTCTGCCGTTAAATATTCTGACGGGGACGTCCGCGGTATTCCGGATGATCTCGTAATTTTCCCGAACAATGTTAGGTTCGCTTCTCGGTTATCGCTGTGAGAGAATCGAATTTGTTGCGGTAAATGGATATTTATGTGACGTATATATATACGAGAGCTCGGATTTATACGTCATGACTGTCGACGAAAGAATTGCGAACAATCTCTTACTCAATTTTCTAAATAGATCGAGTATAAAATACATTATCCATCGCGCTAAGGCATAGGGATAATGTATGCGATGCGCAACAACTGATTACTTTCTTCGTCGAACTGATACGAATGATTTAATACAGCCATTTACCGTTACGCTTGTCCCATCAATTTTTATTTTGTCGGCAATTAATCTAAACACGCGTAAATTTCATACTTTCGACGATGATGGTAGTCAGGGGAAAATGCTATTACACTTCATCTTCAAAAATCGATTTCTTTAAGGTCGAGCGTGGTAATGGCGTTCCTAGCTTTAATCGTATCCATTAATCGTTATTTCCGCGACTGAATATGTCGGTGCACTCGCGCTGCATTGGACGTTATTCTTATCCTTTACAACGAAGCGTTCCTTAATTTACTTGGGGACTGTTCACGATGGTTATACACCGAGAACAATTTTCGAGAAGCCTGCCTTTTCGGCGTTAGCGATATTATTGCCGACGAAGTTGCGTTCGAGGCACAGAACGAAATTAAATTTCCACGTGTTCGAACCTTGATATTGAAGGATGCAGTTTCCAAATTAAATTATTTCTACACTTGTCGTAAAAAATTATCTGTATATTTATCGGTGATACAAATAAACGGCGCCAGATACCGACAGATTGGTCCATTTTTTTTTAAAATACAAAAAAAAAGAGATATCAAAATTATATCGACTTTAATTAGCTTTGAAACACCGCGTACTTCCTCCATTTCTCAAGTTTAATCTATAAAATGTGATAAGTATAAAAATAAGCGAGTGTCTCGGTACAACGCGCTCGGCAGAAATGTTCTTGTACGCAATGTCGGCCGTTTGCCAGTATTCGAAATCCAATTTCTTGCTAGCGGGAACCCGGGGAAATAATGCGTCCTCGTTCTGCCGCCCCGATCCCGGACTCCTTTCTTAATCTTTTAGTTCTCAGCTGTAAAGTGTCCGGCTGTAACAAGTTATGATTCTGGAAGTGGAGAGACTGTGCGACTGGTGTAACAAGAACGCCATCCCTTCGTTTCGCGACTTTGGTATTGGTTGCAACTTCGTGGAACGATACTTTGCAGTTCTTGCCAGCTCGAGGCACGGACAGCGCGACATGGAGACGTCAAAAGATTGGTTTCGATCGGTAAAAAGAAACGCGGCATCACGATTCTCGCGTGATATATCTTCAAGATAGTAGCTTTCACGCATATTATTGTTGAAGAGCGACCGGCTACTTCTCTTCGGAACGCGGGATACAGAACGTACGATAGCTCTGATAAATTTTCCGGTCGTATTACTGTTTCTACTGCGGCGATCAACCAAGCGATATGACGTCGCAAACGCAATTTCTGACGTTGGGGCGTGCGATCTAGTAGAAACCCAAACACGTCGCATTCTGCGACTCGATAAACGTATCTCTAACCCAAGATCCGTACTTCGGAATACCTTTCGGACGATATCGCGAGACGTGAAATCCGATTCTCCGCAGCCGCGACAACGGCGTTTCTCGTTCGCGTAGCGCATGTACGTAAGAGAGAGTCTTGATGAAGAGAGCGAGAGGCTCGCTCGGCCGCGAGGGAGCCCGGGTGCGCGCCAAG